ACTTGGAAAGATGTAGTAAAAGTAGAAACTGGAAATATTCCTACTAGTAAACCACAGTTACTTACCAGTCCATAAACAAAATGTCCATTGAAGCCTGTGTGGTTATTAGGAAAGCTATGACTCTCTGAACTTATAAAATGCATTATTCATATGCAAGAGAGAAAGTATCTTAAACAAAAAAATAGTTGTTTAAATAAAATGGTGTGAGTTTATGGCTTACATTATGGGTATATATCAGTGCATGGTATGTACCAGCAGAATAATGGAATTCGACTGCTTACACATCAAAAAGCCCTACAAGGGGGTCCATTGGAACCTGATATCATTTTATACGTGACAATGCTAAAACACAGCCCAACAAATTATTAGCTAATTTATCATCAGGAATATGTTTGGTATAGTCTGATATATACATTAGATTACTTGTCAACCTTATCACTGAGTTTAGTTGAGGATTAAGACAATATAATTACTCATAGTTTAATGACATTTGCTCCAACAACCCCAAATACTGTTTTATCAAACCGGCCAATCAGCCACCAACCAAGCAAATAAAACCCTATTGTTAACCCATGACTTGTCCCCTTTCATGCTGCCTCCCACATTCCACTTGTAACGGTGACATAGTCACATGCTTTATGAACACAGATTAAAACTGACTGAGGCCGACTGTCATGATAAACAACCACCTAGATTCCAGTCCAAGTGTGTGCTTTGGCACAGCTACAAGGCATCATTATTAGATTACATACGTCCATACATAAGATCACACACATGCATGTATCACACACACAAATATATTCCATAGAGATAATAACAGAAAAATTGGCTAAAAGATATGTACAGTTGTGTATATACATATATATATATACATGCTAAAAGATTTTCTGCTCTACTCACAGTCTGTAAACATCTTGGAAAATACCCAGCAAAAGTCACTGTGGGCCCTTTCAAATGGTGACCATGTGAGTTGTGGGAGAGGGGGAGGTGTTTAAGTTCATACTGGAAACCCAGAGAAGTGAGGAAGCTTAGTTCATGGTGGCCTTTGGGGTGATTATATTCACTGACATGATAAACTCAGCCAGCCACTTTGAAATTATGTTTCCTCTATGGAAAAGGGAATGATCAAAAAAAGTCTTTCTGCCAGTTAACATTTAAAACAAAGAGAATATGAGGTGATATGTATACTATATATACATACACACACATATGCATATATGTACATATATATGTATGCATATACATACATATACATGTTACTATTACTAAAAAACCTCAATGAAAATTTCCAAATCTTCTAAAAATATTCAATTCTATTCTCCTAGGTTTAGACTTCTATGCATTGAACTGAAAGTCTTGGGTATAGTTAAACTACACGTACCTTTAGATTTTGGTATATGATATTGATTGTACACAAAAGACATTAAAAATAGATTGGGCTTATGAAAAATAGAACTATTTGATTCAAGCATTATTTTATTAAAATTTAAGATGAAAAAATGTTCAGGATCTCCTGTAATGAAACACCATAAAAAAATAGGTTCTTCAAAATTCTTTGAATAGCAGCTATTAAACTGCCATGTGTGGTTATCAATTTGTGCTTTAGTTCTGTATTTGTTGCAGCTTGAAAATTTACGTTAAAAAAAAACCCACAGTGGCATGAGAAACCCCCTAATTTTTCACTAAATTATTTAACTTTTTTTTTTTTTTTTTTTTTTTTTTACAAAATGAGCTCAAATAATTATTTTTAGGCTGCTATGCAGTTAAAAAATACTGGCACTGAATGACATTTCAAAATAAAGGTGACTTATGCCCATACTGTGTTTGCAAAAAAAACCCCCCAAAACCATTTAAAAAATATCTCTATTTTATAACCTCCAAACTTTCATGGTGACCAGTTCTCATTAAACATTTGACAGAACAGCCGTGAAAGCTAGGCATGCACGTGAAAACGATTTTCATGCAAAAGTAGTAAATATCCTTCTGGTTTCATTTAACGGTCTCCCTATCCCCTGCCAACTCTCACCATTTTTTAGTGTTGAATATAACATACAAAATACGTAAATTAGATAAATTAAAGAAGTAAGAGTCATTGAATTTGTGGGCACGAAACAGTCCACTCTCTGATGTTTTGGAAAGCATTTTCCGGGCGTGGATCTGAGTCATGAGAGAGGAGACTTCTGGAGACATAGTTGCTGTGTGTTTTTTTCTCCAA